AAAAAAATGGTTACTGCTTGGAAACATTCCTCAAAAAAATTGATCCAGGATAAAATTCGGAGATTGGTTTCTCCTTGCAGAAATGACTTGACATGGAGAGTATTTAATCAGATACATCAACTATAGGATCATGATTAAAGAAAATGATGGTTTAAAATTTGCAGGATAGTTAGGATACTGCAATAACTATGTGCTACTTTATCTACGGCACACATTATTTTATTTTACACATCAGTTTTGTAGTGCAATCTAGGATTTTAAAATATAATTTCAAGTGACATATGAGTGCATTAATCTACTTTCTAATTAACCCTTAATTCCACTTACTAATTTTTCTCTAGTTTTGGGTTTTTCATACATGGCAGCTTTGAATCCCTGGAGGAAGAATGTTAATTTGTTATAAAACCTGCCATATACACAAACTCCCTTACAGGCATCCAGGAGGGCTGGGACAGCAAAAAAAGTCAGGATGATAGTTACAGCTTGTACAGGAATGGCAGAGTTTAATTTGTGCTGCCATGACTATTGTCTGCTTTTTTGATCCCATCTGGGATGGACGTCTTGCATTTCAAATATATCTTTAATTTTTAAGTATATCCCTACAACAATAGCACCAAAGAAAACATGCACCTGGAGCAAGATATTGTCTTACAATGCGGGCCCATTCATGCTGGGAAAAGTAAATTCTTCAAATACTAATAAATGAAATGTTCAGTGTTGGTAACTCTTTGCAGAATTCATTTTATAGGAGCCTGTGATTTCATAGTTTTTCTTTCTAGTAGTCAATGAATTATTGATGTGCTAGATTTACAGTGCAACTGTAAGAAATTCAGTGTATTTGGCTTATGTTCCAAGTTTTTTATAAAAAAAATCTTTGCAGCAACTGTAGCTTACCTATTGAGAACAGCTAGTAAATTGAATGGCTTAACTGAGTGGAGATTTTAATCATAGTCAACCTGTATGCTGACTATATATTGAGTAAGCCTGATTGGAAGAAGATGAGCATGTGTTTAAAATTCAAAGAAGAAATATCAAGAGTCTGCACTATGCACTATAGGTAGTCCTCGAATTACAACCACAATTGAGCCCAACATTTCTGTTGTTAAGTGAGTTTTGCCCCATTTTACAACCGTTCTTGCCACAGTTATTCAGTGAATCACTGCAGTTGGTAAATTAGCAACCAGGTTATTAAGTTAATCTGGCTTCCCCATCGACTTTGCTCGTGAGAAGATCACAAAAGATGATTACATGACCTTGGGATACAACAACATTCATAAATATGAACCAGTTGCCAAGCATCTGAATTTTGATCACACGACCATGGGGATGCTGTGAAAGGTCATAACTGTGAAAAATGGTCACATTTTTTCAGTGTTGTTGTAACTGAACAGTCACTCAACGAACTGTTGTAAGTTGAGGACTAATTGTACTCTGATAGGCGAAAATGGAAATAATTGGTAAGCTCTAGAAATGAAAGAACAAAAATTAAACATAAAGAAGAGCAAACTAGTGACAACAGTGCGGCAAACAGTTCTAGAACAGCTGATATGGGTGGCTATTCTTGGATGGATGGACAGATAGAAAGAGAGACAGATGATAGATAGATAGATAGATAGATAGATAGATAGATAGATAGATAGATAGATAGATAGATAGATAGATAGTGTATGAGAGAGAGGGGGGAGGGAGAGGGAGGTCCTACATATGTATGTATCTGGTGGATAGCTTCTGCCTTTTATGATTATCAACAACAAAAAGTCAAAAATTATTCCATGGTGTACCAGTCAGATAGTTTTACCACTGACGCTTTATGGAAATCAAGTTGGAATTAAAAAAAAACAAAACATGGTGTGCTGTAAAGACTATTAAAACTTTTGAACTTTAGTGCTTGAGAAGAATGTTGGCTACCCTGTTTCCCTGAAAATAAGACCTCCCCAAAATAAGCCCAGTTAGGCGTTTGAGCGCATGCGCTAAAATAAGCCCTCCCCCCAAAATAAGCCCTCCCTGAAAATATTGTAACACAGCAGCATCTGTGAGGTGACCACACTCACCGCCTCCTGCACCTTCAAAAATAATAAGACCTCCCNGCGGATGGAATTCGGAGGAGGCCTAATCTGTGGGATCTGATCGATCTATTGGAGGTAATTGGCAGCAGGCAGTCTCTCAAGTTTGCTTGTTTAGAGTATTTGTGGGCCACTCACTTCTTTAAGGATGGGAGGGAGGGGGAGAGACCAAAAACCATCAAAATGACTGAAGACTAAGGTTTTAGGTTTAGGTTTTATTGGTTTTGTATGCCGCCTATTCCCGAAGGACTCCGGGCGGCTTACAATAAAAAAAAGGGAAAGGGGATAAATAAGACAATACAGAAAATAAAATACCAAAACATTCACAATTAGAGTAGGGCTGGATACTTCAACAACCCCAGGCCTGCCGGAACAGCCAGGACTTAGTAGCATTACGGAAGGCCGGGAGGGTAGTAAGGGTCGGGATCTCAGTGGGGAGGTCGTTCCAGAGGGCTGGAGCTGCAACAGAGAAGGCCCTCCCCCGGGGGGTCGCCAGCCGGCATTGGCTGGCAGATGGAATGGAGAAGTCCAAGTCTATGCGATCGAATCGTTCTTTGGGAGGTAATTGACAGGAGGCGGTCTCTCAGGTACCCAGGTCCGATGCCATGCAGGGCTTTAAAAGTAACGACTAATAGTCCCTTGTCAGACTAACCACACAATCAGATGCAAATGTATTGCTGTGTAGTCATTTTCTGAATCACGCTTGTGCTTTTTAAGACATTCAACACATTTTTTTAAAAATATAACATAAAATAATAGTATAGTAAAATAAGGGCAAAAATAAAAAAAAATCTCTCTAACAAGATAGTTATTATTAAAATGGCTAGAATTGGTGAGGTGCCCCAAAAAGGATTCTATTTTATATACTATCCAACGTGTCCTTTTTACATCATGAGACATAAATGAATCTCTGCTGAAAATGTAGATTCTGAGCTTACTCCTAAAGCAGGGGTGTCAAACTCACAACGACACGTTGTCACGTGACGTATCACAACTTTTTCCCTCTTCACTAAACCGGGGGTGGTGATGGTGGTGGCCAGCACGTGATGCATTCAGCCTGTGGGCTGTGTGTTTGACACCCCTGTCTTAAAGAAAGAGGAAGCCTTGCAATGCAGTAGGCAGAATTATGTGTTCATTGATATAGACACTTTTGTTGATCAATATTAATATTATCAAGTGTATTGGAAACAAATTGGAAGCCAGGACAGTTGGTTCAAAAACAGTGATATGGGGGATCACATCAGGTAAGTATGTGGATGAAGTTTTTGAACACTTTAAAGTGACATCCTGTATAGAATATATTATTATAATAAATATGATATGTATCTCAATCACCAAATCACAGGTAGTATGTATTATCAGCATTACCATGAGACCTAGTCTCTCTGCTCTAGGTATTTTTCTGGTAATATCTTATAGAAGATATAAGAATGTGATATACAGATTTTTTGAAGTTTTCTGGTGTAATGACATCAGGACTGAGCAGTAATTACCATCTCTCATCATTTTCAGCTAACTAAACCATTAAACCACGATATCAATTACATATTAGCCAAACATCTCAGAATAAGATGATCTGTAAGTCTGCAAAAACCAAAAGCAGTGGAAAAAATGACTATGATGAAACTGTGGAGAAAGCTGATGGAAAATAGAAAACAGCCATACATTTTCAATTTTCTTGTCTTTCTGCTGTATATTAAGGGGAATATAATATAATAGATTTGAAGTGCCCGCAGATATAGTATATAGTCAGGTCAGCCTTGTAATATAATTCTTAAGATATTGTATACATACATAATACATATACAGACCCATATATAAATAATATATGAAGCCATCTTAAGAGCCAAGGTGGCGCAGTGGTTAAATGCAGCACTGCAGGCTACTGCTAGATCAGCAGGTCAGCGGTTCAAATCTCACCGGCTCAGGGTTGACTCANGAAAATAAGGCCAAGCGCTTATTTTGGGGGGGGGTCAAAAGAAAATAAGACCCTGTCTTATTTTCGGGGAAACACGGTAAGTAAACGAAAGGATCATAGAACAAATCCATTCAGAGTTCTCACTCAAGGCACAAAGAGCCAAGTTCATATTGTTACAATTTAGACACATTATGCTAACTTACTAGCAGACCCAGCTCTCTTGAGAACTCTATATTGCTATAAAGATGGAAAGAAAGTAGGAGGAAAAGCGGGATCAGTGATGATGGGTACGTCCCCAGGAGACCTAAGGGGCCAAATCAGCCTGGTCATCCATCATGGTCACTAAGCGTTGATGGCACACATAATCAGTCAATCTTTTCCGCATTATTTGACATTCAAAAAGCTACATCTTAGTAAATTACTATATGCAAGTGATGTTGGTGGTGTGTTGCATCAAAGCAAATGTGAAATAATCTTGAGAGTCTTTGTTTCAAAAGACACTTCAGATCGCCACAGCTCTTTAGTTGGCATTGAGTAATCAAGTTGTTGATTCCTACTCACGGTCAGATCAGCACCCTGTTTAGATTTGCAAATGCTGCCAAGAGTTTACTGTTTCAGAAAGCCTTCAGGGTCTTATAGAACGACATGTTACCACTTTGCAGTGGCTGATTCTCATTTTTATTGAGAGTGGTATTTCTTCTTGGCAGGACGGTATTATTGCTTCTTTTATATTATGCTATAATATGTGTTGTTACAATCTTCCCCCCCCCCCCTGTATTGAAATGTGTGCTGCTTACAATTGTCTGTGATTGAAACAGACGGTAAGAATGAATGACTAAACGAACAAGTATACTTTCTGTCTCCGCTCCCCCATTGGCCTTTTCCAGGGGATACTCAAAGGATTATTGTGAAGGTTGTTGAAGTAGTGTATGCGAATGTCACTGAGCAGTAGGAAATGAATTCCATCATACTTTTTTTGCCAATTTGCCTTTTGTATGTGTTTCTAGTACACACAATATCTTTCCAATTTAAAGTAAGACTTCATGGGGGCTCTTGTTTGTGGTATTTCACATGTATATACGTGTTGTCACAATCTCTATTCATTTTTAATAAAGCCTCAGAAGAAAGATGATCAGCAACTTGAGCTTAAAACAAGTCCCAAGAAAGTACCAGAATCAACTGTTGATCTCCTGGGGCTTGGTAAGTATTATCTATAATTTTGAATAGAATAAATGGAAGCTATCTGTATATTTGAATTCACAAAAATGTATGCAGTGCTGCCTACTTAAAAGTAATGAGTTCCTTTTGGAAGAGAAATTATCACAAGATTCTGATGAGAGAATGCAATATTCACAGATGAAATGCAATATTCACAGAGCTATGTGAATGTTGCATTTATTTATTTTTTTGGTTCAATGCCCCATCCTAAGGAATCGACATTAATCCTGTGTGGATTTGAATTTGATTTCTCGGGATATAAATCTTCAGCTTGATTGTCGTACTGACTTAAAGGAGGTTTTTTCCCCAAATCGGGCCACCTATCCTGAAAAACTATAAATTCCAGAGAAGGAATAGATTATTCCATCCTTTCTCCTGCAATTAATTCAGCTTTTAAATTTTATTCTGGACACACACACCCTTTTCAGGAATATTCCTGTGCATTGAGGTTAGCAATAGCACTTAGATTTATATACTGCTTCGTAGTGCATTACAGCACTCTCTAAGTTGTTTACAGTGTCAGCATATTGCCTCTAACAATCTGGGTCTCATTTTACCAACCTCGGAAGGATGGAAGACTGAGTCAGCCTTGAGCCGGTGAGGATCAAACTGTTGGCATGAGCTAAATTAGCCTGCAATACTGCATTCTAACCACTGCGCCACCACGGCTCCAAGGAACATAGGAACCGAGCTTCTCATCATAGGAGGACAGAGTGATTCAGGCCTCTTCAGCCATTTTACCCACCTCAGAGCCAAGGTGGCGCAGTGGTTAAATGCAGCACTGCAGGCTACTGCTAGATCAGCAGGTCAGCGGTTCAAATCTCACCGGCTCAGGGTTGACTCAGCCTTCCATCCTTCCGAGGTGGGTAAAATGAGGACCCAGATTGTATATAAGTCTACTGCTATTG